TAGCAGCTAGAGGGGAGAATTCACAATCTGATCTTGGGAGTTAGAGGGTTAACTCTGAAACCCAGAGTGGGGGTTGCAATGCTTATTGGGATAGGGGCACTTGTTAACAGAAGTAAACCCAAGAGGGCATGCCTATTGGAACAAAGGTGTTAAAATCAAATCATTTTGGTAGTTCAAGGTAAGTTTCTGGCAACCATTCTGACTACTTTTATATCATTTAGGCTTAAATTCATTTAAATTTATTCCATCACAACTTTTGACTCTTCTTACAAAAATATTGTTGAGCTACTATTCCTGAAATACCAGAAAGAAAAATACAACATATACAAATGTAGTTAATTAGAGGTGTTGATATAGATTTTGCAGCCCTTAACAATAATGTCCTGTACCAATTGTAAAATTGCATATCCCAGTTCATTTCCCATTGCATACAACTTCACAAAGCTTAGCCTGGCAAAACTGAAGATAGAAGAATTACTTAATCATTCATGGTACAAATTAAGACATACTTTTTCCTTAAAATAGTGTTCTTTTACAACTTTTCAGAATAGTTTAATATTTTATCCTATTTAAAATAAATGTTTTTTAATTGCATTGAGTACAATTCTCAAATTTTGGGAACACAAACTGAAGCTCACACAGCAATTTCAGTTTAATCACCTGAGTTTATAGCATAAATTGGCCACTGTAATGAATGTCAAAGCTGAAATTTTTCGCCCTGTGTCAGAGGGAAGGGATGCTCACAAATCCTTGTAAACAAACTTTCCACCTGGCAAGAAAAGTCTCTTTGAGTCTTCCTAGTTATTAGACTTTCCTGACATCTCTCAAATTTTTTACATCTCAATTAACTAGCTAGATCAAGGAAGACTCTGCTCATGGCCAAATCAACTTTCAAATAATGTTGTCAAAAACAATTTCCTAAACCATCTTTGAAAACTACCATGATCCTTCCAGAACTGTAATTAAAAAAGTATTTCTTAGTAAAACATTTCTAAGAATAAAAAAATCACATCAAGTAGCACGACTATGTCATGCTTTGTGATAAGTTGAAAAAATGGGATAAGTTTCTAGAAACTGTGGTGCTGTATTGGTTGGGGGTATTACCACATAATTTGGTTTGATCAACTGAGTTGATCATGCCAAAATGTAAAAAGCTTCTAAAGCTGACGTTTTGAGTGTTTGCCCTTCAAAAAAAAATAGGGCAAAATGAATGAAAGCTCAGATTAATGCTTAATTAAAATTGCTTCTACACATCAAACTTGCTTGATGTAAACAATGCTTTAAATCGTCCCCTTCTCATACTACACGACAATTTCGCCTTAATTAAATTTTTAGAGGCATTCTCTAGATTAAAAAAGAGATCAGGAAAAAACTTGTTTTCCTTGGGAACTAATCATCCTTAGATTTTTTCAATCTCGAACTATGACAAAAGTGAAAATAATATGTATGAATGACATGATATTGTTGGTAGTCCGTTATGGTGTGTTTAAGGGATGTTTTGTGGTTATTTAATACACTAAGCAAACTTGCCTGTTTATCAAACACTACATAACATCAGAATTGACTCTTCAAGGAAATGGAGGGTATATGTGGTGCATATCTGTAGCCTGTATGACTTCAGTTATAAATACTTAATTCTTTAAAATTTTCACATCAATATTAGGAATTGTAAGTTCAAGATGCAGATGCGCAAACTTTTTTGTAAACTGAATAAGAAAGATGCCAAATGTTAAGCTTAATAGTGAAATAAACAAAGGTGTTATCCATCTAGTCCCAAGCATGGGACAAACAAATATCTGAGTCCAAAACAGGAGTCATATTTGAAGACCATCATATTCCCTGCTTAGTAGCTTTAATAAAGAATTGCAAAGCAGTACATTGTGAGATGGCTCCTTAACAGATTCATATGTTCAACCAGAAGCTCTGTGGATTGACTCTGCATGCCAAATGCCATGATTATTTTTTGGTCCCATGCACATGACAAAATGAGCAACATCTTTCTCTAGCTGCCAAGTAATTTCTTATACCCTTCTACCACAGAAATAAATGCAATACATTAACTTGGTGATGTTACAACTCTTAATGAAAGAGTATAGAATCTGGATCTTGATTTGCAAGGGTGGCAATGTGACGTAGAACATCCTTCTTGGTTATGATTCCCAATAAGCGACTGGAACAAATTTAAGAAGGAAAGTATAGTTCATCAATTTAAGATGTTCACAAGGTGTGGTCAGTTGTAAGCTCTATAGAAAGAATTTAATGGTACAATGGGTAAATTGCCAGGCAGGGGTTCTCGTGTCAACATAAGTTGAATTTTCAGAGGTCATTAGAACTCTTAAGTCATTTGCCAAGCTAGGGTTCCAGGGTAATCAAATATCACCCAACTACTCTGTGTAGCTGTTAAGAGAACAAAAGACAGGGTCTCTGTTTAACCATGCAGGGCTTGAAATTAATTTTCGGATCACTAACCCCTCAGGTTAGTAGAGTGACATCGTTTTTACTAACCAAATTATAAAGTTTGGTATCCAAGCTCACAAGTTACAATATCTCAAATATTGAACATTTTGATGATAACAACTAGGACAAATTAAAGAGTAGCTGAAATTGCATGGTGACCTTAAAAACGTTGACAATTATGCACCTATTTTATTTCCCTCTCGTTTACA